CGGCATTCCGGACGCACTCGCGTGATTCGTTCGTCATTCGGGGTCACCTAGACAACATCGTCAACGATTGGGACAAAAATGAGTCAAATTTAATTTTCGTCAAAATTTTAGTTTACAATCAAGAGTTTCAAAATTTTATTTAAGTTTCGATTAATTATACAACAAATAAAGGCGTAGGTGACGTGAATTTCAATACTTAACGTGTCGATCGTCCTAATCGTGATATTCGTGTACGAATGTGCGAAAGTCGTAATTGGCGTTCTTGAGGCTTCTAAACACTATGAAAACTCATCGTCGAATCGTCACAAGTTGGTCCTAACATTCCAAGTGCTGGAAGTTTATGATCAGCCACGTAGCTTTTCGAAGAGAGTTATGAGATTGTTTGAATTTCTATATAGGTGGGTTCCATCTCTTGTGTTCTAGGATAGTCAAAAGGAAAGTCTTATGGCTGGATCTTAAGCACTAAGATGAAAGAAAGACCTCACAAAAAATGAGGTCAACACACCATATCATCATGGAAGTTTAATAATGTACTTTCTTTTATTTTTATTGTTTATAAAGTTCAAGGTGGGCAATCTTTGTAGCTTCTAAAATCTTATAAATAAAGTAAAACCTAATTGATTGTTTAATATTAAAAGTAAAAAAACTATAGAGTCTCTCTATCTCTTTCTTGTTTTTCTCTTTATTCAAACTTCCCTTTATTTTCTACCCTGTGAGATCTCATTAGCTAATAATAGGTTTTATATACCAATACTAATAACTCTTAATCTAATAGAATGTGATCAGTCATCCTCAACTTTTAGAGTTGAATGACTTACTATTTGCACTTCTAAGTTTCTTTATCCAACTATTTTTTAGATATTTTAAATTGAAATATATAAAAAAAATTTGAAATCAAAGCAAGTTATTCTTGAGCTTATAAATCTTTTGGTTGGAGAAGAGAAAATAACTATAAAATGAATGTTCTTTCCCAGTAAAGAGAGCAATTAGTGGTATACCCAAATGCCAAGTTCAACCTAACAGAAAAATATTACATCGTCAATGTCATTCAAACACTCCATATTAAACATGGTCATGGGGGGTTATTTGCAAAGGAGATTCTTCAAGCTATGAGGAGGTGTTGGAGATAGCCTAAAAAAGATTACACAGTAGATCAAGGACTTCATATAGAGAACAAATATCAAAATAAAAGAGATTAGGGATAGTGTCTAAATCTTGTAGAATTAAAGGAGCCATCAGTAAATGTAAGAAACTAATGCAGAAAAAGATTCATACTTATTTTATTGTATCCTTTTTATTTGTAAAAAGGAGTGGCAAGCAAGGATGAAGGGAGATGGCAATGGCATCCAACCAATGTAGATGGAGATTGGATCTAAGAGCTACTCATTTAAAGGTAATGAAAGATTGATGCTAGTAATAGCACAAAATAAAATAAAATTGAAAAAGAACTTGAGCTTCTAGCTAGGAAAAAAACAACCTAAGATAGAAGAATTTTCTTTTGCTTTGATTTTTAAGAATAACACTACATAACCAAGTAAAATTTTTATATTATTATACATGCACCACTTTATAAAATACATCATTTCTTGATAAAAAAAACGAAAGATGCACTACACAAGTCCCCAAAAAAAACCTTAATTTATTCTGCTAAAATAGAGCTTGAAAGCAAGGGAAAAAAAGCTTAATTTTCTATCAATCACTTCATATCAACAAATTATTATTATTTTGTTGCCTTTGAGTTGGATAGTAACGTAATTACAGTTCATAGAACTGTTTTTTTATCTATGTTACTTCGTACTTAACAAACTCATACATCAAATAAAAAAATTTAAAAGCAATCATAGAGACATGCACTTTCATATGATCAAGTTATATTTTTATCAAGAAAAAATTGTGTATTTCCACCATCTAAATACAAAATTAGCAGGCACAGTAGGCTTATAACTTGACCAGTTGTAAGTAGGCAATAAAAAATTTTACTCAATTCTCCTCCTATTCACAAACCAAACTTCATTTTGATTATACCCAAACTATCCCCCATCTATAGAAGCACAATCTATAATGACAACACAGACATAAGAAAACTTAATTGACAACAACAACAACCATAAAAAAGAATAATAAATAAATGAACTCCTTTAACTCACTATGGAGATATACATGAGTTCCCTTCCTCTTATTATTAGAGTGCATTTTCTCATTATTCATCGTCACTACTCGCAAATATTTCACTAATGCTCCATCCGCTAGAGCTCCCCTCATCCGGCTCAACGTCTATTTCAGTGTCTATTGGAGCTAGATTTGGTGTGATCTGATTATGATCGCCATCAACTACTTCCTCATTAGGTTGATCATCAACATTCGTTTGTAGGTTCTCGGATTCAGTTAATCTAGTTTGTGATGCATCAAATTGCAACAATATGCTCGATATGTCATTCTCCTCCAACCGAACGTGCTCCACCTACAATACATAATCAAAATTACATCCCTTTTTATCTATCTATATTGCATGGGTAGGAAGAATGGGAAATTGATGTTTCAAAAATTGTTGATTGTTAAGTGTCTAATTCAAATAATTACCTTGCAACTAAGGCTGCAGTAGCGATAGTTGTAATTAAGACCATTGCCACAAAAGGCACAAATATTCTTCCTTCTCGAAACTTTCAATTGAGGCCGCGGTCTCAAAAAAATGAATTCTTCTCTATATTGAATGTATGTCTGGTAATGCAATTAACAAAATGTTACAAAAAAAAATGATGAATTTTCCCCATTTTTTTTAAATAAAATTCGTTTTGACAACATTTCAACAAATGTAAGGTGATATGTTTAGTAAAAAATGAGTTTTAGGTGTTAGATATGTAAATACATAAGAATTGAGTGGTATGTACGCAAATCTTCCTACTAATTAATATATTAAAATCTTATTCATATAAAAATTGTTTAATTAAACTCTTACATTTATAAGACAAAAAAGAATTAAGAAAAAAAAAGAAAAAAGAAATTGATGGGCACATTCATTACCCGGATTAGGGAGCAGTTAATGAGCTCTTTGAGATCGTCGAATTTGAACGAGTGACGGCCATAGTGACGTCTAACCTGAGTTTAATGTGAGAAAAAAAATAGTATGAGCACTTAAAATTGTCTCACATATTCTAATACGAATATCGTTTAGCATTGATATATAACTTATTTAATAAGTTTAAGGTACAATTACACTAATACCTATCATTAATTATAATGATTCATCATATTGCGATTCAAGAATTTGTTATTGTAATGTAAGGGCTTACTAAATGTGAACTATCTCAGCAGGGATGGTCGGTTACACTATTACAATTGGAGATGGCTGACAAGGTTCAACATGCAGAAGACGAGGAATGTTAGTGTCGGTCACCAAGGTTTGAGGCATTAGGCATCCATGTTGGTCAACTTAGAGGTGTTATGTGGTCAATGTTGATCAAATGTGGCTTTGAACATTACAAATGATGACTTATGATGCTAAGTAAAAGGTAAATACCAAAAAGTAGATAATAATTAAACTTAAATACAGGCAATTCAAGATATTAGATTTTAATTAGAAAAAAACTCAATTTGTTCATTTTGTTATAAGTAACGCATATTGACGATCCTTAGCTCATCAATAAAATACACAACACAGAAAAATGAAAAAAAAGACATGGAAAAGTGATAAAGGAACATATAAACCAGAATAAAGCGGTGAGATCGATGGTCGGGCACACATTTACGGCAGATGCTCATACGACAATGGATGCAAAATCTATTCTTCATCTTCGTCTCGTGGGTCCCGCAAACAACAAAAAAAGTTTCCTCCATAAGAAAAGCCCACCCACCCACCTCGCCATCTCTCTCTCTCTCTACCTCTTCACAACAGTTTATATCTCTTTCTATCTCTAATAATCTTTCTTTCTCTAATTGTTTTGAATGGCATATGATTGGAGGGTAGAAGGAAGATGGAAGCAGCGAAGAGTTCAGAACTTATGATCCTTTTGCTGCTATTTATATGGGGAAGGACATACAAGAATATGAAAGTGAGCCTCTTGTCTTATTCACATTTTAAGTATATTCCACTAACAACAATAGATAAATTGGATAAAATTTAATTAAAATTAAATTAGAAGGATTTGCTTATATTCTATACCATTAGTATATATTTACAAATCTAATGCCTCAATTTTAACATTGTTTCAAACCCAACAATTGTTTGAATTTATATATCTAACATCTAAATTTTAGTATTCACCCGTATATCATTTAGTTCTTTATCATCACATAAAATTATGCTATTACTATATTTTTTTAAAACTATTTTTTTTTCATGTATATATTTTAATGTAATTTTGATAGTAAAATGTAATATAAATATGTAAGCTACTATGGGTTGTTGGTTGAGCAATCCTCAAACATATCTTTCAGGCATTTGTACAATCTAAGCTCTAACTTAAAGCCAGAATTTGTCTTAGGATTCTTAGGTTGTCATTCGTCATGACCTAAATCCTCACATCTTCAAGGTTATTTGTGTTGATTGCTTCACACAAATGTAAATCCTAATAAATAAAAATTGCAGGATAAAACATCTAAATGATTTCTCCTAAGTTAAAGCCAAATAATAGGATAGCTTAGGAAGTCACCGAAGTTCTCCTTCGGATCTGTGGCATCCTCTAGTGTTTCCTCCTTTGGACTCCAAAATAAAATGTTCCAAATTTGAACCAATCCCCCTTCACACTTCTTAGTCCAATATCTTTGAAATGTCCTTACCATTTGAACTCCTTGAAGATAATTTTTCTTGACTTTTATCGAGAGTATT